GCATATGATCGAAATATTAAAGGCTTTAATGGGAAAAAAGGACAACATATAAGATCACATGAAAAAAAATTTGGGGGGGTTAAAACAGGAGATAGTTAAAAGAGGCTATGTTAGAAATTTTTTAAAAAATGATAATACAGTAACAGATGAGGAATATCTTCAACAAGTTTATCAGTAAAATTGACACAAGGAAAGAATCAATGAACTTGGAAGACAGGTCTAGAGAAGCTACTCAAACTGAAACATATAGAAAAAAAAAATAGGGAAAGAACAGAGCATTAAAGATGTGTAGAACACCAAATTGCACTATTTAATATATGCAACACAGAAGGATAAGAAAGAAAGAAAAGAGCAGGAAAACATAATAACCAAGAATTTTAAAAACCAACTAAAGAGAGCTGGTGGTTGCACAACACTGTGAATACACTATATACCACTCAACTATATACTTTAACTGTATGTTACATGAATGTAGTCTCAAAAAGAAAAAAATCTTCAAAGTCACAGATCTAAGAACATCAAGCTGTATTATAAAAGCTACACACACAAACACACACACACATACACACACACACCCCATTGGGTAGATCACAGTCAAACTGACGAAAAACAAAAAGAAAATCTTGACAGCCACAGGAGAGGAAAAAGACTTTACAAACAAAGGAACAACTATAAAAATAGCAATGGACTTCTCTCCACAGACCAAGCAAACTAGAAGATAACAGTATGGCATCTTTAAAAAGGTAGAGGGTAAGGAAAAAAAAAAAATTCAGTCCAGAATTCCATACCAGTGAAAGAATCTTTCAAAGAATCTTTCAAAATAAAGTCTTTCTCAGACTGAAAAAGCTTATGAGAATTTATTGCCAGCAAACCCACACTACAAGAAATAAAGGAAGTAGTTCAGGCAGAAGTATGATACCATATAAAAACTTAAACCTACAGAAAGAAATAAAACAAATACAATTAAAATTTAATTATTTTTCCTTATATTTTATTGCTCTAAAAGATAATTATCTGAAGAAAAATTGTAGCAACATATTATTTGTTATAGCATATGCAAAACTAAAATATATGAGAAGTTAAAGTCACTCAGTCGTGTCCGACTCTTGTGACCCCCATGAACTGTAGAGTCCATGGAATTCTCCAGGCCAGACTACTGGAGTGGGTAGCCTTTCCCTCCTCCAGGGGATCTTCCCAACCCAGGGATCAAACCCAGGTCTTCCACATTGCAGGCATATTCTTAACCATCTGAGCCACAAGGGAAGTCCAAAAACATATGAGAACAACAGTACAAACAATAGGTGAGAAGAATTGGAAATACAATGGTATAGGACCATCACACTACACATGAAGCAATATCTTTTTATTTAAATGTAGATTTTGGTGGCTTAAAGATTGTATTTTAAAACCTAGGACATCTACTAAAAAACCATTTCAGAAGAGATATTACAATAAATCAACAGAGGAGAAAAAATTAGTGGGCAAAAGTTTAGTGAAAAAACAAGATATGTGTATCATCTCAATGTATCTCCTCACATGGTATTGACTAATTACAAAGGTGAAGAAACCTGGGAGACATCATCTTAACCAAGTGTCAAAGTTAACACCATCAATAATAAGACACATTAACATCATGTACCTCCTGTTGCACTGAGAAAGGCACAAAATTACATCTGTGGTATTCTTGCCTAGAATGTATAAGCTTAGTCTATCATGAGAAACATCATACACATCTAAACTTAGCAATATATTGCATGATATCTGAAATGTCATGGTCTCCAAAAGTGTCATGGTCATGAAAAAAAGATCACAGACTATAAAGGGCTAGAAACACATGAAAACTAAATGCATTGTGGAATTTAGATCAAATACTGAACCAAAAAAAGTACATTAATAGAATATCTAGTGATATTCAAATAAAGTCTGTTGTTCAGTTAATAGTATTGTATCAACAGTATAATAGTACCAAAATATAGTACTATACCAATTGTATTGTGTTTATGCAAAATGTTAACATTAGAAGTCTGATGAAGGGTATCAAGAACACTGCAGTATTCTGCAACTCTTCTGTAAATCCCTAGTATTTTTAGATGTTCTTATGCCCTACACACGTTGTTATACATGCTCCAGAGTTATGGAAACTCATTCATAATGAAATTGTTTAGTTTCTAAGTCATGTCTGACTCTTTTGCAACCCCATGGACTGTGACCGACAGGCTCCTCTGACCATATGATTTCACAGGCAAGAATACTGGAATGGGTTGCCATTTCCTTCTCCAAGGGATCTTCCCGATTCAGGGATCGAACCAATGACTAACACAGAGCATACTTAGTCTTCAGTTCAGTTCAGCTCAGTTCACTCACTCAGTCGTGTCTATTTGCGACTCCATGAACCGCAGCACGCCAGGCCTCCCTATCCATCACCAACTCCCAGAGTCCACCCAAACCCATGTCCATTGAGTTCATGATGCCATCCAACCATCTCATCCTCTGTCGTCCTCTTCTCCTCCTGCTCTTAATCTTTCCCAGCATCAGGGTCTTTTCAAATGAGTCAACTCTTCACATCAGGGGGCCAAAGTACTGGAGTTTCAGCTTCAACATCAGTCCTACCAAGGAATACCCAGGACTGATCTCCTTTAGGACGGACTGGTTGGATCTCCCTGCAGTCCAAGGGACTCTCAAGAGTCTTCTACAACACCACAGTTCAAAAGCATCAATTCTTCTGTGCTCAGCTTTCTTTATAGTCCAACTCTCACATCCATACATGACCACTGGAAAAACCACAGCCTTGACTAGACGGACCTTTGTTGGCAAAGTAATGTCTCTGCTTTTTAATATGTTGTCTAGGTTGGTCATAACTTTCCTTCCAAGGAGTACGCGTCTTTTAATTTCATGCATGCAGTTACCATCTGTAGTGATTTTGGAGCCCAGAAAAATAAAGTCCGCCACTGTTTCCCCATCTATTTCCCATGAAGTGATGGGACCAGATGCCATGATCTTAGTTTTCTGAATGTTGAGATTTAAGCCATCTTTTTCACTCTCCTCTTTCACTTTCATCAAGAGGCTCTTTAGTTCTTCTTCACTTTCTGCCATAAGGGTGGTGTCATCTGCCTATGTGAGGTTATTGATATTTCTCCCAGCAATCTTGATTCCAGATTGTGCTTCCTCCAGCCCAGTGTTTCTCATGATGTACTCTGCAGGGTGACAATATACAGCCTTGACGTACTCCTTTTCCTATTTGGAACCAGACTGTTGTTCCATGTCCAGTTCTAACTGTTGCTTCCTGACCTGCATACAGGTTTCTCAAGAATACCTTAATATCTCAGGAACTATGAAACAATGTTTGTCACTGTTTACTATGGAGAGAGTTTAAGCTTGGCTATCATTTTTTTCAAAACATACAGCAATTCTGTGTTTGACAGTAATCTGCCCACAAGAGAAAGAAGTATTAAATGAGGACCCCAAAATATATAGTTAAAAAATTACTAAGTTATCAAGTTAAACAAAACCTAAACCAAACAACAAAAGCCAAAAATAGATTATTAAAAGATTGAAGAGTAGATCATCAGCATTCTCACCTCGGAAAAAAAAATGTTTAATAAGAAATATAAGTAAGAGGAAATGAAGAAAATGCAAACCACAGGATACATAGGAAGGAACTATAAATGCTTTTATGTGAACATTTTAAGCAAAATTTTACTTAAAGACAGAAATACAACTAAACTTTTTAAGAAACTATATTGCCATTAAGTAGCAAATTATTTAAAAATTGTCAGTATAAATACAAAGTTCTAAAGATAGTAATTTAAAATACCACATTACTTTTTCTTTCCAAGCACACACTGATTTATGTCAGCTAATCCTTGAAACCAGCAGAAAGAACAGCAAGTCATCACATTTACAGGTGTAATCACCAGACCACTTATTTTGTGCTGCAATGATATTTTGTTCAAACCACTTCCAGTAAATATTACTCAGTCATTAAAAAGAATACATTTGAATCAGTTCTAATGAGGTGGATAAAACTGGAGCCTATTATACAGAGTGAAGTAAGCCAGAAAGAAAAACCAATACAGTATACTAACACATACATATGGAATTTAGAAAGATGGTAACGATAACCCTATATGTGAGACAGCAAAAAAGACACAGATGTATAGAACAGTCTTTTGGACTCTGGGAGAAGGTGAGGGTGGGGTGATCTGAGAGAATAGCATTGAAACATGTATATTATCATATATAAAACAGATCGCCAGTCCAGGTTCGATGCATGAGACAGGGTGCTCAGGGCCGGTGCACTGGGATGACCCAGAGGGATGGGATGGGAAGGGAGGTGGGAGGGGGGTTCAGGATGGGGGACACATGTACACCATGGCGGATTCATGTCAATGTATGGCAAAACCACCACAATACTGTAAAGTAATTAGCCTCCAACTAAAATAAATAAATTAAAAAATAAAAATAAAAAATAAATAAACCACTTCCAGAAACAGAAATAAATTAGTTACATATAATATCAAGGCATTCAGTTGAAAATAAACCCATTTTTCAAATGAAGTTAACTTGTAAGTTAGCAAGCTTTGTAAAATATCAAGATCAAACTACATCTAATTGAACTGAACAACTTTAAAAACAAAACCATGTACATTTTTACTTTCTTTTAAATGTTCAAGTCATAGCCTTTGGCTTAATTTCATAGCAGTAAGGGGACTCCTTACTACATGCTCCATTTGAAGAGTGTACCTGTGTTCTAAATCATAGGTTAGATAAGTAGTACCAGAAATCAATAAATATTAAGCCATATTTCCAAATTTCACTTAACAATGGGCATATCATTCCCTGCTGGGTGATTAACATACCACATTCTCACCAAGTCTTAAACCCTCTGAACTTTCATCTATCATGGGTTTTATAAAAGAGGAGATGTCTGTAATAGAGTATGTATGTATGTAATAGAGTAGTTCTAGAACTAGAACTAGATTACATCCAAAGGAAAAGTAACATATGAAGCAAAAGCCAATAAAGCAGTAAGCAGAAAGCTAAGCTGCAGTCTGGGGGAAAATGTGGGCCTCAAACAGTTTTGACTTAATCATGTGAACCAAACTGTAAGTCTAGTGAACTGAGAATTTCATGTTTGTAAAAACTCAAGTTTTCCTTTGAGAGGCAGAAAACAATTCTTTCATATCCACTTAATGATACATTAAGTAGAACTGATCTTTTATCACACTTAGTTTTCTCCTGAGAGGCAGAACTGTGAAAAACTTCAAAGAGGTTGGATTAGAGCTTTCTTTACAGTAGAATAGTACAACCAGAAATAAATAGGAGACAAAAAATTATTTTTGAGATGCCAAGAAAAAAACTTGCAAAGAAAAGGATTTCTTTGTGAATAATATTTCTCAAAAAGCCACAGCAGGTAGAAACCATCTAAATTTTATTCACAAGATAATGAAATCAGTCCAATCTATTCCTTATATAACTGGGCCTCCCTCTTTCCCTCTTTCCTCAAATCTTATGTTTGCCAGATAAGGAAGACTGACAGCAATAAGAGTCACAAGTCTGAATAGCAAAGACTTTTCCAATATCCAAATAATGGAAATGGAAAACAGACTTAAAAATAAGTATGCTAACAATATCAGTCAAACATTTTAGTAAGCAACTACCATATGCTAAAGCAAAATTAATAAGAAACATACTTTCTTTCCTCCAGAATATTAGAACCTATTTGAAATCAGAGCATAAACATATTTAAATTACCACTATGTAATTATAGCAAAAGCTCTTTCATTTGACAACGTGAAATAAGCTGTGAGTGACAAAAAAGTACAGGAGTTCAGAAAAGATTAACACACTGCAGAAAATCTAGTAACCTTAAAACTACAATATTAAAGCTATTAAAATTTTAAAGGGGAAACCCAAGTTCAAAACCACAGTTTTACCCCTTATCAGCTGAGTGAACATGAACAATTTACTTAAAGCACTGGGCCTCAGTTTCTCATCTATAAAATAAAGATAATATCTATCTATCCACCTTAAAGATAATATCTACCTGCTGGGAAGATTAAATGAAATAATGTAGGTAAATCACTTGACATGACACCGAGCACAAAGCAGACCCTCAATAAAAGGAGAGAAGGTAGAGGTGGGTGGATGATGGTCAAATTACAAACTGAGAAACTAAAAACTTCTGTAGAATTTTAAAGCGCTTATAGTCCCATAAAACCAGGGAAACAAAGAAGGCTACAGCAAAGGAGGAGAAACTGATATGATGAGGTATTCCTTCACAGTAAAATCTCTTTTGTCACAGCAAAGATCTGTGCAGATATAAGCCAGTGTCTAATGGCCACTGATGAAGCCCAGCACTCAATGCTTGGCTGCTTTCTGACGATGACAGAGACTCATTATGTCACTGGTTAGACTGGTTCATTCATAAAACTGCAGGTGTTCCTAACACTGTATAAAGTAGCAAAGCAATGCACATTCGAGGAACTCTATAGCCACATCTTGAGTAAGGTAGAAGAAGAAATTGTTCTATCACATTTCAGGATAATTATTAAAACACATTTCTTCAAAAGTGAAAATTGATAGAATGGAAATGTCTCAAAGCACCTCAATGAATCTCAAAATGAGACAGATGATGTGCATAATTTTCCTTGGGTTTGACTCCTTAGATTTACTGTCTTTACTATAAACTTCTATTAATACAAAATTATCTTTGAAGACTACAAATTCAGTAATGATCCAAAATTGGACACGGTGATTTGCTTCACTTTTGCCCTAAGTTGGGACATGTAGTTAAAGATAAATACAAGCACTCTGAATAGAGCCTTTCTTCAACAAAGCAGCTATGTCAGCACAGGCGGCAAATTAGAGCAGAAACTGAGTGCAAAGTTCAAAAATCATTTCCAAAGAGCATGGAGTACTTAAAATGCAGTATGGCTAGGTTAATGTTTACTTGTACTTTATTTCACTTAGCATTGGGTTAAGTATCCATCAAATAGCTTCCCCTGGATCTCCTAGAGCTCAGTGGAAATATTAATTTATTGAAGGAGTTTCATATGTATAGACCTTCCATGAAACAACTAGCACAGCATCTTGTCCGTTATCTATGTCATAAAGCTGTTAAAAGGATTAATCAAAATGATAATATGCACAAGTGTTTCAAACTTATAAAGTTCCATTAAAATATTTACTTGTACTATAATTCATAATTGACTGTTTTTATAGAATATTATTAGAAATTAAGACATAAGTAGACTCTTCATAAATATTTAATGTTTCAGAGATCTTGAGTATAAACTAGTCCAAATTCCTTAATTTTATATGATGTTCTAAGAGAAGTAACTTGGCCTAGGCCACACTGAATAAAATTGTAACAAGAAGTTTGAAAGTCAGAGTCCTTGATTGAAGATGAATGCAATGAGTTTACCATGATAGTTAGCTGCCTCATATTTTGATTACTCAAAATAAACACAAGCTGCACAGACTACTACTCTCCACTGGCCCCAAATCTTCTATACTGAAAACAGAATATGAGCAATGGGTCAATACTGGAGCCCAGATTTATAATTTATAATATACAGTGATCATGCAGCATGCTTCCATGTAAGAAGGCAATTCTTTGGTAAAAGATTCTAATTCATTGCTAATAATTCTTCCTTAGGTATTCACCTTCCTGGATGTACATTGAAAATACTTGTCTGCAAAGGAGGAATCACTGCAATGACATTAATCTTAACTAAAAATGCATAACAACGTGAAAAATGTAGTCTGAAGTAGATAGAGATACCGGGAGTAATACTACAGGATTCACATCAAGTGGATCAGTATCTCAAGATGCTTACCAATATTATTAAAGTTGATGTTATTTTTGTTTTCAGAATTTAGCATATATAAGCCAAACTGCAGCTGCCCCCAAAATAAGCAGTCAATTATAGGACACTTAAAACACTGGGTTTGGAAGCACTGTTCTGTGGACAGCTATATAATGAAAATAATGTACACGATCAGAGAAAGTGACTAATAATTAAAGTTGCTAGGACTGGGCTTTCATACAAAGTTCTTTTTTATTTGTATGTTTAAATCTATAAAATGGCAACAATATTTGCAATCATTACTTTTTCAGGAAATTATACCCATTTCTGAGTATAATATGCATGTATAAAAGACCACCTGTCTTACCAACTTCTCAGTACACTTCAGACACCATATAGTGTTAACATGTTTTTAAGCTTCCATTGTATTGCGCGTAAATCTGGGTAAACTGTAAGCATTCAGTACCAACAGAATGAGTTTTCTGTTACTGAACTTTTAAATTTCATTACAATTCCAGACCGTGATGCCCAACTTACATTCCTCTCCACACCTCTAGTAAAATATGCACAAAAACACTGGAGGAGATGTCTAACTGATACGTATAGCAAATCTGAAATACAAACATGTCCTAAGTTAACAACTTAAACTATGCAACCTCTTCCACAAGGCCCATAAAATACAAAGTAGTGATAATCATAATTTAAAAACACAAAATACAATGCACAGACAAAATATATAAAACACCACATAAAAAGTTTCATCATCCTAATGAAAGTTTGAACTAGTAATGGATTATTCAAAATACTTGCTTCGTTCATTAAAAGCCACAATGTAAAGTGAGTTCTACATAAAAACAATGTAAATGAGAACTTTTAAGGAGTAAGATAGTTACACAGCACAGCAATCGTTTACTGTGAATAAAAGTGGATTATGTGCAAAGAAAAGCCAGCTAAGACAAATATTTCAAAAAAAAAAAGCCAGTTTAAAACTGTGAAAGATAACCCAACAAAGGATGTTTGGGCCCAACAAAGTATAAGACTGCATTTCTGCAGAAAAGACAGCATCACTGTTTTTAGCCCAAATGCTATTTGAATATTTTTCCAAATTTTAACTCACAGTTGGAGAATTTCTGTACCATTCCATTATTTAACTACCTGGGAAAATCCTCCTCTTGCAATATTCTAGATTATTGGGTTGAGAAAATAGCCAGATTCAGTAAGAATCTGACCTTCAAAACTAATGAAACAGACCAATATGAAGCAGACAGGAAAGAACTTATAGCCATTCCCCCAAAAATTGTAATTCTTACTTCAAAGACCTATAGTCCATTACTCCCAATATACAACCTCCCTTTACTCCAATACCATGCATGAGTGGCTTGGTGAGATTTTTAACCTTAACCAGTAATTTGCATTGGCCTCTCCAAGAGATACTCTAAAAATATACATACTAAATAAAGCAATGTTCTTGCTATTGCAAAAGAAATTGCAAGACAAGAAACCTGGTGATATTATTTCAAATAAGCTACTGTCCTTTCCTCCTTCCACCACATAGAAATCAGGAATATGTCACCTCTATCATGCTTTGTTAAGAGAATCACAGTGGTGAAAGCATGGTTTTGAAGTCAGGCCATACAAATATTTATAAACTTTGACAAGTGCTAAAACATGAAAAAATAAGATAATGAAACAGGCAACCCTAAAAATGTATATAAGTCAGTAGAAATTTAAATTAGCGCAACCAATCTGGAAGGTAATATAACTATAATTATCCAAAAGACTAAAAATATGTGTATAATTTGACCCAGAAACTCAAATTATTAACTGAATTTATTCACTGTCTTCCAGGAAAACAGTAGGTTAAATATGCAAGGATGAATGTACAAGAATATCCTCTAACATATATAATTCCAAAATATCACAGAAATTCTAACTATCTAACAACATAAGACTGACTGGTCAAATTACTCTGCTATAACCACACCATAAAGCACCAGCCAAACATTAAACATTAGAAAGAATGATGAACGGTCACATTTACTCAAACAGAAAGACATTCATGATAGCCCATTCAGTGAAAAACTCAAGACTACAAAACAGTAGGAGTAGAAAACTTTAATTTGCATTAAAAAAAATTTAAATCATATAATTAAAATAAAACATTCTGGAATAACACAAAAAAGTTAAACAATAACTATCTCTAAATGATGGAATTAAATGTGATTATTAATTTAGCCTTTACAAATTACTAGTGGCAAATCTACACAAAACATATAGATAATTAAGTTAATTATATAAATCTATGTATGGACTTGAACATAGCTACGCATGTAATCTCAGCTCTATTATTACCTTGAGTTTTGACTTTTGAAAATTAGCATTTCTTCAAAATTCTAATTTAGACTTCTTTAGGATTTCAAAGGCACTGAGAGATATGTGTCATCCCAACACAACCAACACTGTTCCTATACTACTGTACAATTTATTTTTAGTTTGCTTTGCAATTGTAAATAAAATACAATTTTGTCAGTGTGCAGTGCTATGCTGGGCCTTGCCTTCTGAGTTACTGCCCAATCCCTCTCCAAAAAAAAAATTAACCACTTCTATAATAAACTGCCTGAAGTCCATAAGGTAAGCCACAGCACAATGCCACTTCTTTAATAGCTTTAGAAAAGAGTAATCATCAGTAAGGCCCCCCACCTCCACCCCAAGAGAAGCAGAAACATCAAGTAGACTTATTCAGACATTCAAGAAGTCTGACTTCCCTCTCCTTCCAAACATCTCTACCACAATACTACAAGGGAAAATGAAGCTTAATATACAGTAAGAGAAGTTCAAAGATAATTGAAATTACCTAAGATTTCATAATAATTTAGCAATTTAATACTGAAGTAAATATGAACTTCATATTATATGTATGACATTTAGATTGTCCTCATTCAGATTAGAATTATAGATGGACCATGTATGATATGCTGAACCACCTATAAGTAATGCTAAAGACATTCCAGAATTCATAAAATTTCATTGTCAAGATAAAGAGTTAGTTGCTCAGTTGTATTCAACTCTTTGCGACCCTATGGACTACAGCCCACCAGGCTCCTTGGTCCATGGAATTCTCCAGGCAAGAGAATTGGAGTGGGTTGCCATTTCCTCCTCCAGGGGATCTTCCTGCCCCAGGGATTGAACCCCCATTTCCTGCACTGCAGGCAGATTCTTTACCATCCTAGCCACCAGAGAAGCCCAAATAAAGAAAAAAGCACTTGAAATAAGTCAGACAGTGAAAGACAAATACTGCATGATTTCACTTATATGTGTAATCTACAAAGAAAACCAAATCATAACAACAGAGTAAAGTGATAGTTGCTAGGTGTGGGTGGAAAATGGTGAAGGTGGTCAAAAGGTTACAAACTTCCAGTTTTAACATGAATAAGTCCTGGGAGTCCAATGTACAGCATGGTAACTATAGTTATAATACTGTATTACATAGTTGAAAGTTGCTAAAAGAATAATGTGTTGACTAACCTTACTGTAGTAACCAGTTTGCAATATATATGCACATCAAATCATCACACTGTATACTTTACACTTACACAATGTTGTTTCTCAAGTATATCTCAATAAAGCTGGAAAAAAGAAAAAAGCACTTACCACTAAGTCCCAATTATTTTGTTCAAGCAATGTAATAGCTTCATCAATATTTTCAATGCCAGTACATGCCTGAAAACAAAGTAAGAATTTTAGATAGAATTTTGGGAATGGAGAGCGTTGAAAGAAATAAACAGCATAATGTGCAATTTAAGTTTAAACAGGTATGTGAACAAAGCCAAGACACTAAATGCCTAACACTTCTAAGCATTTTACACGGTTTGAAAATTGTTCATTACAATATAACTTAACATTACACTGAAGTAAAAGACAATAAACTAATAAAGTATATTTAAATGCTGATTGGAGCCCAGGATGATCACTACATCTCTATTGGCCCAGGACAACTTCTATTAAACAGCTTCTGATGATCATGTGTTTAAAAAAATGAATTTTGATCCATACTTTGCACTTTATTCAAAAATTAACTCAAAATAATAACAGACAAAATACTCACTGTAGCCACTGCCAGAACCACAATGCTGAAAGGAAAGCAGCAGCAGCAGCCCTCATTGCCAGAGCAGGAGGAGACTGGAGAGGGCTGAAAGTCCATCAGACTACCTAGCCTTTGAGGCCCTCCTGTCATGGCAAGGAAAACCCTGGTGACTCCAAGTCAGCTCTTCACGATGATTCCAGCACTGCTCAGTCTCCCATCTCCTCCCTGGGGCAGGGAGAAGGGTTAAGCCTCAGATCTGGCTCACGTGGTCACAGATGGTAGGGGGCCAATGTTGAACTGCCTTTTCCTGGACCAGGGCACAGGGATCCCTCCAGGGAGGCTTTTACAAAGAAGGGAGAAATCCTCGAAGTTTCACAAGCTGGTCTCTTACTAAGAATACCTGCCCATCCACGGATGGACCCCAGGTTATGAAAGGCAAGATTCAACTGCCCTGTCTGCTGACGCTTTGCCAAAAAGGTCCACTGTTCATATCATATGGGGACTTAGCTCTTTGTCTTCTACCACGCAGGCATCAATGGACCCCCTCTGTGAGACTGTGCCTTCCCACAGTCCTCTGTAACCTACCAGCCATATACTTCCCTGTGGCCCTGTAATGGCTAGTGTGGGGCTGTTCCAACAACCAGTCAGTGACACCCACTCCCATGTCCACCTCCCCTACTTGGGGTCCAAAGTTGTGTTTCATCACTGGTGTGCAGTGTACATACTTCTGATCAAGCCTCCAGAGACTTATTTTCAGGACCCCATCTTTGCTCTGTTCAACTGCCTCATGGATCCTCTTCACCCTAGCCAATGACTGCTGAACAGGAAACTTCTTTGGTGCTGTTTCTTATTCATCTGTCTACCCAGCCTCCAGAGTTGCCCATAATTCCTGAGAGGCATAGGGCAGTTCCCTTCTAGCTGCTTGTTTTTTAAGTTCTTTATATGTCACCACCCCTACACCCAATAAAGTCAGCGGCTCTGTGAAACTGACCAGGTGGTCCGATCCCGGGTCAAGTTTGAATGAC